AGAAAAAATGGGAGGATATTGCCTTTGAGAAAAAATTGCCTTTGCAAATTTTGTCACTGATCAGAAAGAAGCCTCAGACCCCAGTCCAAAAGCACAGATCTAGCATTTGCCAGTTTTATCAGGCCTGGATGGCAACACATGCTTCAGGAGATGTCAAAGGTTTTGAGAAGCCACAAGGAGCTGCCACTGCTGAGGAAAAGAGGACAGAAGGATGGGTCTCCACTCCCCACCCTTCATCCAGAGAGGCTTGCTTTTACCTGTTTCATTTATGCTTTCACGTCAGCTATTTTTGAACAAAGGGTTTCTTGTGTTAATGTCTTAATTCTGTTTGGGAAAATAAAAGTAAATCTTATTTTGCTCTTTGTTTGCCTCACAGATCCCTGTAGGCTTTGGAAAAAAGAGTATGAATAGAATGCATTCACTGGCAAGATGAGGGATCTGAGGGCTCTTGCTGGTAGAACTAAGACAGTAATTAACCTCTCTGTGCTTGGCTTTTATACCTGCAGAATAGTATCACAATTTTTATATTGGCATCTTTGTAAAAATGATGAATTTGAAACAGCTATTAAAGAGCCAGCTTCTACTTCACCTTGAAAGTGAAATACCAATGTTAAATAATGAAAAGAACCATCTCTTAGACTGCTTTGTACATTTTTCTATTAGCTAGTGCATTTACCAAGATTAATAAATGCATCCACCTCTCGGCTCAATTAATTTGCAATAAAAGAATACAATCATCAGTAGACACACAGGAGAATTGTCTGGCTTGCCAGACAGGCATACCCAAAGAGTGGATGAGGAATGCATGATCTACAAGTACACACAGCGACATCGATATATCTCACAAACATAATGCTGAGGGAAAGAAGCCAGACACAAAAGAGCACATGCTGAACGATTCTGTTTATATAAAGTTCAAAAATATTTAAAACTAATCTGTGATGTTAGAAGCCAGGGTAATAGTTACCCTTGGGTGGGGGGAATAGCAATTGGAAGGAAATAAAAGGGTGGGAGTGGGATTCAGGTGCTATTAACATTCTGTGTCTCTATGTGGATGTTAGTTACAATGGTGTGTTCATTGTAAGAATTTGAATTCATCAACTATATATACTTAGTGATTTGTGCATTTTTCTGTAGATGTTTTATACTTTATAAACATGTTACATAAACAATATGGTTTAAGTTGGGTGGAGAATTTTATTCTGTCTCCTGAGATAAGTACAAATATGGCTGTATCTCCGAAACTCCAACGTGCAATGGACTCCTCAAGGACTGTGCTGTGAGGATCACCCCATCCCAGGGGCTGGCAAAAGTCTGGGGCACTAACAGTTATAATTACATTTTCTTTTCATTCTAAACACCAAGGTAACAAGTGGTACCTATTGAAAAATTGTACCAAAGAACAACTATTAAGATGCACATATGAACGAGAGAAATGCTCTGCCATGATTTTTATTGGGATTTACTGTTTCTGTAAGCATTTAAGGCAGCTACTGACTTTGACTAATTCTCCTAATGTTGAGTTAGGCAGGATGCCATATGCAATTAGACCCATACATAACTTATTTGGGATAATGACAAATACTCTGTCAACTATAAGTTTTAACAGTTATATGTTTCTTTCCTCATGTATTTGTTGTTATGGTTTGCCATTTTGTGCACATTCCAGAGGCTTTCTTTATATAAAACCATCATTTAACCAAAAATGCTTAATATTATGAGTAGAAACAATTTTTACAGGAATCACGCATGAGTTTTACATGCCTGAATTAAATTAGATATTTAAAAATATACAAACACAATGAGTGAGATGTGCAACATTTGGGGGCTGGTCATGCTTGCAGCTCTAACTCGAGGGGGGAGGGAGGCATGGGCAATATATGTAACCTTAACAGTTGTACCCCCATAATATGCTGAAATAAAAATAAATAAATAAATAAAAATATATATTTAATAATAGCTTCCAATCCTGAGTCTGCTGTTTATTAGCTATGTGTGGATCATTTGCTGAACCTGTTTCAGCCTGTTTTCCTCAATGGGCTTGCTCTCAGAGAGTTGTCATGAGGATTAAGTGAGATAATACATGCAATTAATGTAGAGCACTTGGCACTGGGTTTGCATCCAAAAACTTATTAAATCTACACTCTTGTTTTTATTAGCAGCTTAACTACCACATTATTGTGAATGGTGAAACTGATCACTTATTCAGAAATATTTCTACACCAAATATAACATTTAAACAGGGAAAAGTGGTAGAAGCACCACCAACAAAGAAAAATTCATGCTAAAAAACTTAAAATCGAGCAATTCCTATATATTAATCAATTTTGGGTGACTTCAAAAATATCACCTCTCTTAAGTACTAATGGTAAAGTTAAAAAAAAAAAAGATAAAATAAAATTCTGCCCAACTCATGGAAGGCCAGTGTTAGAAGGGAGCAGAATTTGAGAGTTACTGACTAGCATATTCATTTATTTCCCTGCTATCTGTCATATGCCAATATGATCTCTTGTAGGAGCCAGCTTTAAAGAGCAAAATGTTCTCATCTGTTTTCTTCCAAGGACATTAAATGTTAGGTGACACCTTATATATTTCCCTTCTTCCTCCTTCCTTCTCTCAAAAGGCAAGGGGACTACATTAGTGAAAATAGTGGACTTGAGATCTGAATCCTGGTGCCACTTGTATTAATTGAGTGAACTCATCAAGTAATTTAATTCCTCTGAACTTCATTTTTGTTATCTAGTTGATGAACTTCATTATTGATCATTCATTAAAAAGCAAAAATTGCATGTAGTAGTTATTTGTTTCTAAGCCCTAGAAAGCTCTGATGCCTGTAAGGCAGGATAAGATATTTGAAGAATCAACCAATGTGTTTTTGTTTGTGATACTTCCTCCTCAACCCTGTCTGATTGTTCATCTGGGCAGTCATACTATCGATTCATGTGAGGTCTGATAGAACAGAAATACAGAGACAGAGAAAAGAAGCAATTTGTGGCTTATGAGTTTCAGAATAGACTTTTTGAAACTCATTGCAGAGATAATAGCTTGAGAAAAAAAAGAAAATTTGAATTTTAATAGCCTAGGATTGTAGGCACAAATAATAGATTTGGAAGAGTACGTGGATAGTCAGAGCCAGTTTTTCCTCCTACTTTACTGCCTGGCCTCCAATACTGGGAACTGAAAGGGGAAGAGGAGGAGCGAGAAAGAAGCAGGAACAGAAATTGAAATCAATGGACCTTTGGCACTGTACCCTGCTGTAGGTCCCTTACCCCAGGCCAACTTCTGAAGAGCAAGGAGCATGATAAAAATCTCAGATGACTTTGGGGAACCCCAGAGCTGAGAACATCTGTGTCTTCCTATCAAAAAGTGGGCAAAGGACATGGACAGAAATTTTTCAAAAGAAGACAGAATAATGGCCAACAAACACATGAAAAAATGCTCAACATCTCAAATCATCAGGGAAATGCAAATCAAAACTGCAATGAGATATCACGTATATCCAGTAAGAATGGCCTTTATCAAAAAGTCCCCAAACAATAAATGTTGGCATGGATGTGGAGAGATAGGAACACTCCTACACTGCTGGTGGGACTGCAAACTAGTTCAGCCTCTGTGAAAAGCAATATGGAGATACCTTAAAGCTATCCAAGTATATCTACCATTTGATCCAGCAATTCCACTACTGGGCATCTACCCAAAAGATCAAATGACACTCTACAAAAGGGACACCTGCATTCAAATGTTTATAGCAGCACAGTTCACAATTGCAAAGTTGTGGAAACAACCCAGGTGCCCATCAATACATGAGTGGATTAATAAAATGTGGCATATGTATACCATGAAGTACTATTCAGCTTTAAGAAACAATGGTGATATAGCATCTCTTGTATTTTAATGGATAGAGCTGGAACACATTCTACTAAGTGAAGTATCTCAAGAATGGAAAAACAAGCACCACATGTACTCACCAGCAAATTGGTATTAACGGATCAACACCTAAGTGGACATATAGGAGTAACTTTTATTGGGGTCAGGCGGGTGGGAGGGGGAGGAGGGGATGGGTATATACAAACATAATGAGTGAGATTGCAACGTTTGGGGGATGATCATGCTTCAAGCTTTGACTCGAGGGGGAAGGGCGGTATGGGCAATATACATAACCTTAATATTTGTACCCCCATAATATGCTGAAATAAAAAAATAAATTAATTAATTAAAAAAAAACAGATCTCTAGGAGGCGGCAAATGTTATAGAGCTCCCTGGCACCCAGCATGAGGTAAAACCAATAGGCTTTGCATTATCTCTGTGTCCAGTTTGGCTTGGTGAGCTGCCAAGAGGTTGTCCAAACCAAGAGATAGTTCAGGTCTTGTGATCAGAGTTACACAAACCCAGGAGTAAATGGGAGACAGGCAAGATCCAATGGGAATACAGAAGTTCCAGCAGATTCCAACATGGACACTTGATGATGATGTCCTGATGACCAAGGACCACATCCCCATAGCCCTACATGCCTTGACATTCAGATACCCTTCAGGATTTAGCCATGTCTGTAGGTAAAGGGAGAGGACACCCAAAATTGACAAAGTAAACCATAGAACAACTGAGGATTGCCTAACGTTGCAGAGATTAAATTTCCAGCAGAACTGGGACACAAGAAAAAGTTCTTTACATATTAGAAAAATAGACACATTTATTACCCATGTGAGTTTGAAGCCTGAGAATTTATGCCCACCTACATTTTGTCCCGAACATGAAGAGCTATATGGGACTTCTACTCAATTCCTCATGGAATGTCTATGGATGAAGTTAATTGTTCTGCTTGCAACTTTTATGAGCATTAGAAAGATCATCACAGGCTTGCACTGCTATTCTCAGTAAAAGTGTTTGCTTTATATGCTTGCTAAAGAGGCAGACAAATTCCCCCACTGGTTTACCTCTCCCAAGTCCTCACACTTGAGCCCACTCTTCAACACAAGTGTGAATTTGTCAGTAGACTCACCTGTTTCTGTAGACAACCTTGTTCGAGTACTTCTTTTCTCAAAAATCATGCCCAAGGACTTCCCTTGCAATAAAGGCAAATACTGTAAATTGAAGACAAGAATACAATTAAAATGCAAAATATATTTTATATCTAATACCAAGGATTATGTTTTAAAAACTTATTCTTTATATTATTCAAAAATAATCACTTATTCCAAATAAGTGTTCAAAATATTGTTTAAAGAGTGAATTGAAAGTGATTTTATTTTTTTATGTTGTATACAGATATAGGAAAAGAACAGTATCTGCCACAGCTTATTGACATGGAATTAGAAAGTGATATTAATTGTTCTGGGTTCAACCTATGCACTTGTTCCAAAGTATATTAATATTTCACACTGGAACCATCTTCTTAACTCCATTGAAATCTTCATTCAATTTTCAATGATCTTGAAGATGTTTGGTTTAGAGGTGTTTTCTCAGCTGGGATCATGCTACTCTGTTACAACATGGGACGCTAATACTCCTACTTAGGTAGATGATGAAGCCCCAGAGTTTTAGCTACATGTTCGTCATGTATCCTCATGGGAGTGCAAAGGCTTTGTTTCTGTAAGTCATTTGAAAACAATCTGGAGAGTTTGGGTGTGGGGTGGGGCTCTTCTTCTTCCTCCTCTATATAGATGGATTTTCTGATAGAATGAGTTCTGGAACAAATATTAATAGATTCCTGCCAGCTAACCTTCCTCATACACAAAGTATGAAGAACAAACGCCTGGGTATGGGGAGATCTTTTTCCTCATCATTTCAGTTGTTTTATAAGAACATCAACCCATAGCTGTTGGGGTCACTTCTGTCCTCAGTCTGTTCCTAGGAACTTGGAGAGCTAGCCAACTAGATAAGAAAATCAAGATCATGTCAAACTTTCTCAACCTGAAACCAACTATTTTAAAAAGCTTTTGAACAAGCTTGGAATATGAAAAGGCTTTCACAATTAAGCAGTCTAAATGAAGCTACTGCATTAATTAAGCATGTTTTAAACATAAATTGCTCAAAATGCAGAATAATGCTTACAGCTAACAACCATATCTCATCTCTTCCCCTACTTGGCTACCATTTAATTGTTTCTTTGCTATTCTGAATGCTTTTTTAAACACTGTCACATCATTGTGAATTTTTTGACATTATCCTATGATAATATATCTGATATGCATCCAGAATTGAAAATTTGTTACTAGAAAAAAATCTATTTTTAATTTGATAGAAAATACACAGAGAAAAGAAAGGAAGTATAAAAATAAAATCTTTCTGGACAAATGATTCCTTAGGTTCTGATCCAGTTAACAATGAATTTCAGCATTCCAAGTAAAAGAAGTACAATGACTTGTTATTGAATAACTGATTTTTATGCTTTTTTATATGCCTGTACACTCAGCAATAATCAATTGCCTCGACTGTGTGATTTCATTACTTAGCTACTGTTTGGGAATTTTAATGTATTTTCCATTTTGCTCTTTCTTTGGGAAGGCTGTCTTTGAAAAGGCAGATTGGTACTAATAGAAGGTAAAAATAAAATGTTACATACCTCTCCTTTCTGTTTTATCCTAAATTTCAGATCTGCTGATAGCCATAGCATATATTTAATTTCTTCTCCTGTAAAGTTTTTTAGAGTGAGTAGGTCACGACCCTTCAGCTGTACTTTATTTTGTAGTGGTTGTCCACACCTACCAAAAAAAAAAAAAAAAAAAAAAAGAGGGAGAAATGAGTAGGAAAAAAAAACCATGTACCTATGGTGATTTTTGTTTTAGTTTTTAAACAAAACATAGCAAATCACATGTAGCCTCACGTGTCTTTGCAAATGTAAATGCATTGAAACTGATACGGCAGTGGTTTACATTTTAGATATTGAGTATTATGTATGTTTGAGAGAAAAGGATAATTTTTGGAAACAGATTGAATTCTTATTTGCTTGAAATAGCTATATGTGTGTCTTTTCTACTTACCAGTCATGCAACCTCAGGCAAGTTACTTAATCTCTCTCTGCACCTAGATTTCTCACCTAGATGATGAGTATAATAACCTTATAAGGTTGTTGTGAGGAAGAAATAATTTAATACATACATGTAATCCAGACAGTGTCAAGCACATAAGAAGCATTTGATAAATTTTAGCTATTATTATTGAAATCATTAGACTGTACAAGCACAATTTATAATGCACAGTAGAAGACAATTTCATTTTTACTCCTACTATCCTTCAAATCTGTTCTTGGAGCCTTGTTCTTTTTGTCCCTGGATGAAAATACAATTGGTCCTGTAACTTTTCTAGTAACTTTCAGAAAGATGAAAAAAAAAAAAAAGCTGCTTATTTTACCACCTCAAAGAATCTCAGTGAAATAATGTATAATAATGGTATTATATAATAATGATTTTTTTTTTACAAAACTGTAAGACATTTACTACAAGTTAACACCTTTTCCCTTCTAGCTTATGTCTGATTCAAGCTGGCTCCTCTACGGGAGAAGTGGGACCATGAGCTGTTTCCTCTATGTCCTTGCCTTCAGTTACTCTAAGTGAAGCCAAGGGAAAGTGAGAAGTTAAGACACAGAGAAAATCTGGTTCTGTTTTAGCAATATAGCTTTGGTAAGGGTATTTGAGGCCAAATCTTTCTCTTGTGGGGTGCTTTTGGCAGTCCTTTGGAGAACCCTGTGATCGCTAGGAATCTCTTACAGCAGTCCCTGATGCAGACAATTAGAATACATTTCCTCTGAAATCCAACAGAACACATCCAGCCTCTTTTTGCTGAGGTCTCCCCACCTCTCCAGGAAGTCATGATTGAAACACTACCATGCTAGTTCTCTTTCTCATTCCATACTGGTTCATGGGAAGCTCTCCATGTTCTTTGCCCTAACAAGAGTCAGGACCATCCCAGTATAGATGCCTCTCTTATTCTGCCATCACAACAACTAGCTAACCAGTCCTTCACACTTTAGATTTCTCAGATATAGGCCTGACATCAGTTTACTGTATCCCCAAGCTCTCCTACTGAAGATATTAGTCCTACTGGATCCATTTCTCTAGGCCTGGAGTGAGAAATAAGTATCCCCTTCATGGGGAGGGGACACATTATACACAATGGAAACACTCTCCAAAAATCCTCTTCTAATCCCCAACCCCTCACTTGGCTTCTGCAACACATTTTATAAGCTAGAAGTGCAAACCAAGGTGTTTGCAAAACTAATTCTTGCTTATCTGCTTTGAAAGTCTATTTTTAGTGGTCAAGCATCTCATTTGAGAATGAGGGAAGAGTCAGTACCTATTGCGCTTAGGCAGAAACCAAGACAGAAAAAGACCTATTTTAACATTCTGTTACATTGTGATGACAGTAATTATTATTTGGGGTAATCAGTCTATAAAATGGACAGCATTTATTCTTTCATTATTCCCAGTGTTATCTGTATTCAAAAATAATTAGTATTGTATTTTCTACCATTAGAAATTATAAATAACCAAAGGCAAATTGTGGTTCATAGATACTAAACATTAATTTTACTACGAGTAAAATAACTGCCACAAATTCTAACTTCTTAACCTCAGGCATGAATTCTAACCTTAAGAAGAGAGCTACTTGGGATGAAGATCAACTCCTCTGTTGGGATTTATGTGGGCCTTTTGGCAGTGATGACAATATAATAGGTAGAAAAATCACAAATTCACTCAATTTGTTGTTTCTACTGTATGATGTCAAACTTAGAGAAATGAATATTTCACTAAATATCTAACTTTATGGCAGAATTTATTGGTTCATTTAATGTTCAGTAGGTGAATAGATGTTTTCAGTAGACATTTTGTGAGATTTAGCCCTTCAGAGAAGAGAATCTCTACAAGGATTGAGAGTTTGTGAGTTGGTGGGCTAACTGGTTGATTGATTTAATATAAGACATTAATGGCCTATTCACCTAATAATAGAAATTACTGTTTTTATCTTAAATGTAGAACAAAATTTTGGTAAACACTCCTATTTCAAAGATGCATTATTGTCTTCAACTTTTAAAAACATGTGAATCATAGGCTTTCCAAATGGAAATTTCATTAAAGCAATGGTCTTCAATTTTTTTATTACATACCCCTAACAGTAAAAAATTTTGACCATGGATCCATAATGTACATTTACTTATTTTTTTTTGACAGTGTAAAATAGGTTTTTATTTTGCTCAGTAAAAAAATATATTGAGAATTTTAGTAAATACAAATTCTCTCTATGAGTACATAAACAATTGAAAATAAAACATTATATTAACAATGTTTGGGCACTGTCACCCCTACTTCAAATAAGTAAATGATGTTAAAAGTAAAGAGATGTTTGTAAATTTGAGCTTAAAGGGTGAGGGACAAAGTTTAAATCAGTCAAGAAAATCTTTCTGCCATTCTAGAGGTTGTCTATTAGCTCTAATGATAGTCTCCTTGGCTGTGCAGAAGGTTTTAATTTGATCAGGTCCCATTTATTTATTTTTATTGTTGTTGTGATTGCAACAATGGTCTTCTCCATAAATTTATGGTCTTCTTCATAAATTCTTTGACTCGTCTTTTGCATGCATCGATAAAGGGCTGATAACTAGAATCTATATAGAACTCAGGAAAATGAACAAGAAAAAATGAAACAACTCCATTAAAAAGTGGGCAAAGGACATGAACAGAAACTTTTCAAAAGAAGACAGACTAATGGCCAAGAAACATATGAAAAAATGCCCAACATCTCTAATCATCAGGGAAATGCAAATAAAACCACAATGAGATTAACTTAACTCCAGTGAGAATGGCTTTCATCAAAAAGTCCCAAAACAACAAATGTTGACGTGGATGCGGAGAGAAAGGAACACTCATACACTGCTGGTGGGACTGTAAACTAGTACAACCTCTATGGAAAGTAGTATGGAGATACCTTAAAGCGATACAAGTGAATCTACCATTTGATCCAGCAATCCCACTGCTTATCTCCCCAAAGGAAAAAAAGATATTCTATAAAAAAGACATCTGCACTTGAATGCTCCTAGCAGCACAATTCACAATTGCAAAGATGTGGAAACAACAGAAGTGCCCATCAATACATGAGTGGATTAATAATATGTGGTATATGTATACCATGGAGCATTTACTTATTTATAATACATGTGCTACTATATTCATTATGTACAGGTTATGTACATAACAAAACATATACAAAAATAAATACTAAAAAGTTTAGACTAAAAAGAACTAAATATTTAAAAATTAAGTTTATAAAAAATAAGTTTTGTAAAACAAAAACATTTTGCTGGCTAAAGAAGTTTCTTCAATAGTCCTTCATGTTCTTCCTTCTACAAGAACCCTGGTAAAAAGCTTACAAAACTGTGTCCAAGTTCTCAATCATAGTAGTAACCCATTGATAACATTGGAGGCATGGCATTTAGGCAAGAAATTTGTGTTCCCATATGAATTTTGGTTATGTATTTCATTCTATCACTAATATTAATTAGTGATAATATTAAACAACATCTGGAATATACAAGTACTGCTACTGTTGAAAAATAAACACTCTGACTGATATTCATGCATTTTTCAGGGTCAACTAGAGCGTTCTTCTGGGGATTATAAAATAGGTTTTGCATATCTAACCTAAAATGGAGGCATGGCAGCTTAATCTTTCCCAATTCACATTTAGGGCAGCTTTTAAATATTTTTTCTTCTGGAATAAGAGCCAAGCAACATAAAATCACAGAAGATAAACTCTCTTGCCTCCATGTCTTAAAATAACACATTAATATTCAATGGCTTAAGACTCCTTCCAATATTATTTTAGAAGGGGAAAAATGCTTTCCTGGAAACCCCACTCCCTCTGTTTCAAGGAATTTGGGAAACATCACTATGGCTGTTGAACTCATATCCATCAACAACAGGAAAAACAACTGATGAGCTAATTTTGAGGCCTTATTTTTTGCCTAGAGCTCAAGCTCAGATTCTCGGTTTTCTTGGAGGCCACAAAAGCCAAGCCTCCAAACTGCTATATTTCAGGGATTCAGTATGTTCCCCCATCCCCAGCCTCTGCAGGCTTTTGTTATATCCTCTTTATCTTGAATGTTCACAGGACTACAGGCTTTATTTAAGACAATATCATAGATCTTATCATTGTGTTGTTCTTCTTGAATTTCAGGGAAATAGAATTGGAAATGAAAAAAAATAAGCAAAATGTTCAAGGAACTAAACTTTTCTCCCCAATTTCAATGAAAGGAAACAAGGGATGACTGATGACACCTTTTGTTACTTCAAAAGCTCCAACTTCCAGTTCTTATCACCCTCAGTGGAGGACAGATTGGGGGAAAGCAAAATGTCTCTAGGAATTTCTCAAATTTGTCCTTATACACTTTAAGAAGTTTCTAAATTGGAGGTGGGATTAAGCTTTTGTTTCAGTTAGGATTAATGTTCTGCGCTTGAGATTGCATTATGAGATGTTTCTGTTTCCATTTCTCCACTGACAGAAGATTTGAGTATAAAGGTAGAAATAATACACAAACATCATACTTGAATATTTCCTTTTTGTCAAGAACCCTTGATTTTCAAATTTATACAGGACAAAAACTTTATTTCAAGTTTTTCTCCTTAGACTGCAAGTGATCAGAAGAATCTCTTTTTTATGACTCTAGACTTTCCATGGCAGGTACTGGTAATGTTGCCCTCACTCTTGTTGC